ACATATTTTACAGGTATGTTTGTGTCTAATTATGACTCTTCCACACATACAGGTGCTCCTCAGTTCCAGCACTCAGTAGTGTACTGAACAGCAGACTCTAGACGTGTCCACACAAACATTTACTAAACATTTTATTAACAGAAGATTGTTGGGTTTGAACAGCAACCAGAACTACTAGATGCAGCGCTGAAGATGAAGACAGTCAGTATTGTGTGTGTTTGTGGTTAGAGGATGATTGAGATAGTTAAGTGATTTTCTACACCTGTGGTTAGTCTTCTGGACGCCCGTGTGAACGTTCCTGAATGTGTCTGACAGTGTAAAACACCGCGGCAGCTGGAGAACATCTGGAGGTGTCTGCAGGCTGAGGCCCATCATTTACTGCTAAGAGCCCAGATGACGAGTAAACACAGCCGACCAGAGAAACACTTCACCCGGTCTGAACCTCGCTGGACTCGCCGTCGGGTTCACGCTGAAGCCTTTGGACCTTGATTAGCCTTCTAGATCTCATCAGTCTCACGTCCACAGACGAGCTCTACAGCGTAACAGCGTTCTTACTGCTCGTCCTGGACTCAGTGGAGCTCATGGTGAGCCGACAGACCAGAGCGCACAAACAGGACTAACGGATCCACTCACGCTGCTCTCGCTCCTGAAGAACTGATTTCCACTCATCGAGTCTGATGTAGTCGACGGTCTCACAATCCTCCTGAGCTCATTCAACAGCACCGTATGCAGGACTCGTTCCTGATAACCAGTCACATCAAACTAGGGATGCACGATATTATCGGAACGTTATCGGTCGATAAAGGCTTAAAATGTAAACATCGGTATCAAAAAAAATGCCGATATGCCTTGCCCATAAGACGGAGAGCTCGCATGTGCTCGGGTGTGATAGTGATGAGATCACGTCAGCAGCACGTCATTCTTGAAGCAAACTTTTGCCTGAATGATGACTAGATTCACTGTTTTGGAGAGAGAGTCAACAGTTTCTAGCGTGTCTGGAAAGGCGTTTTATTTACCGAGGGGGCGCTGTTGGCCTACTTGTAATAAAATGAAAGTAAAATACACAAATAACATTAAGATACTTGTGTTTCTGAATAAATAAAGCAGTATCAATGTAATAAAATTACACGTCTATTTTGACTTAAACGTCAGAAGTTATAGCTTACATGAATAAAAATCACAAACATGACACTTGTAAATTAAATATTTGATATATACAGATTTATTCAGTAATATTTAATATATTTTTTCAAATGGATTATGAAAATGTAAATATAAGGAGCTCTAAAAGTTTTTTTTTTACAGCTCTTTTGCTTTAGACCATCTATTAATGTTAAACCCACAAATAAAATGTTAAGGTTTCAACTGCATCTGCCTGAGGAGAAGAAAAAAAAAACACAGCAGAGATTGATTTTATTAGTTATTTTCAAGGCTTTCAATGTACTCTTATTAAAAAATAACTTTAATAAAAGTGTATTACTTCTAACAAATAAGTTTTTGCTCAAAACTAACCAAAATTTAAACAAAAAAGATTTCCGCACAGGAGAGACCTGGTGTTGTTTCAAAACAAAGGTATATATATATATATATATATATATATCGGTATCGGCCAAAATTATTAGAAAAATTTTGGAAAAATCTAATATCGTGCATCCCTAGATCAAACTCATTCTTAATGCGGCCTTCTTGATGTCCGGCTGGCTTACAAATGATCATGAATAAATGAGTAGCACTAAATAAATGATAACTTCTTTAATGGCCATATCAGTGGAAAGGTTGTTTCACATGCTGTCGATATGTTTGTCTTAGCCGGCGCTTACCGCTGTGATCAATAATCCTCCTGCAAATATCACCTTGAAAGTGAGGACTGGAAGAGCAGCAGATATCATCAAGACCAGGAGGATCAAACTCAGTCGAACCCTAATGTTCACCATATGTTCACTATTACGGGAAGACAACTAGAGAGAAGAACTAGAGAGAGTGAACAGACAGACAACGACCACAAAACAACATCTGTGCAACAGTTAAACAGCTGATTAAGAAATCTGATGTAGATCATGAAGTAGAAGCCAGAAAGAGGGAACAACACAAATCAGCCTTGATTCTAGATGAATCACTCTGGTCCATCCAGCACTGGACTCGGGTCTGTTTCTGAGATTCAGCATAAGTACAGACGTGTTTTATGTTGAGAAAATCACAGGAAACATGTGGGTCTAATCTAATTTAGAAGCATTAAGAACTGATGCAGTATTGAAAGGAGCAGCGACAGAGTTTAGTGTGTAACTGTGTTTCAGGAGTCGTTCGATTCAGCTGGCCTGACTAATATATTCTCACTGGAAGTCTAAGATGAGATCAGGATCAGGTTCAGACTGAAGCTCACATCCCTGATTCTACACAACCAACCTTCCCTCCCAAAAACTACCAATCTAGATCAAGGGGATTCCAACCAAACCAATGCATTTATCTATTTTCCCAAAGAGCTGAAGGCCAGAAGTTTGAAACATTATGAATCTATCCATTCACGGTTTTTCTGGGACAGCAATCACTTTCAGTAAAAACTGACTGTATCTCAGATCAGATGGTCTGATTGATGAATTCATGAAGATCTGCAGTGAATGAGGTTTTGAAGTCTCAGATTGAGCAAAGAAGAATCAATGAATCTATTGCTGCTGATGGGAATCTTAACACACAGAAGGCCAGTGTAATTAACCACGGTAATTAAAGACAAGCATTAACAGTAGCTTGGGGCGAAAACACCCACCAAATTAGAGGGAAAACACCCCTGTATGAATGTTTTTAATATTTATAACATATCACATGAGAAAGAGTGCTGTTTTTACAGAATATCAGCACGACTGCAAATGTGATATTGATATTGATATTGAAGTTAATATTAATTGACTTGCATCTTAAGACACAGTATTGTCTGTTTTTGCGGCTTGCCATAAGTCATTTTTAAAGCCACAGCAGAAGTGTCTCAGAGCAACACATAATGATTCTTTACTGAATGAAATAAACCGGTCTGCTGACAGCGATATGAAACCTCAGCCGTGGCGGTCAGAAGATCTCTGCTCACATCACTCAGACCCGCTGCTCTGAAACCAAATCAGATTTGAATAAAGCCATAGAAATCTGCTCAGAGTTCAGTGCAAAATGAAATAAATCCTCCGTTTGGTGACACGGCTGAGCATCAGCATTCGGCGCTGGTTCAGGAGGAGATTTAGAAGAACATCAGCTCAAGTCGACTCAAGGCATGCACAGTATGATGCACGGGAACAGACACATTTAGGACATTATTAATAGCATCATGAGTTTGTCTGGCTGTGGCATGAGCTCAGCTGTCTTATGAGTGAATATCCAGTCTAATGACACGACACTGTGTTTTAATTCAGCAAGTGTCATGCTCTAGTGACAAACGTCTGCACACACTCCGTGTGATTCATGAGCTCCAGAAACTACAGGCTTCTGCTCACACACTTACTGCACACAAATATACAGCACCTACGTATGAATATCTTCACAAAATATCCTTTAATATTGCATTAATATTACTTTTATATTATATACACATTCTAAATTCCTTTTAGTAACAGGTAACTTGAAGCATCAGTTTAATATGCAATAGTGCACACGCTTGTTGATCACACGGCTCTGTGTCGTGCACACACACACACACACAGCAGACTGTGGTTTCTGTCAGATTCAGTCAACATGAGGAAAGTGTGGAGCAAAAGTGCTGCTGCTGCGACAGCTGACCAATAACAGCCTCCTGACGAACATTGATGAGCCTGACACGTCCAGCTGACTTTATCTAGATGATCGACTGATTGACCATCATAACCGGATTAATTTAGCCTTTAAGCTATCAATTATTTTCTGATTAGTCAATTAATCCTTTAATTTACCAACAAATATTAACCATAACTTTTGCAATTAACCTTTCAACACTTTTGTCAAACAATTTTTCAAAATATTACTTTACAAAAATAAATAATAAATAAATAAATAAAAGGAAGTGCATCTCCATGATGTTCAGTCAATGTGTGACTGCGTCTGACAGTCTTTCCTCACAGGTGTGAGTCTTCAAATGCGTTGTTCATTCAGCTGCTTGAATACATATCTGTATGAACGAACAGCTGAAGTCACAACCGTATTCTCACTCAGCTCAGCATAATGGCAGCATCAAACACAGCCATGTCCACAACACCAGGAAGTTTCGGCACAATTGACATGTGCTCACACATTATATAACTAGCTGACCAGTGCGGTTCTGTTCATACAGCTTTTCTGAAATGTGCAGGTGTCGGTTTGGTTATGGAAAGCGGTCATCACGATCATAAAAAACAAAATGCTGTATGAATGCGAGTGTATTTAGCAGCGTTGCCATATTACCCATTGATCTGCTCTAGGGAGTGTTCTGCGTGAAACATGACAGGAGATTGGAGACGAACGCAAACAACAGCACATTCCAAACAAAACTACATTCACATAATCAGCGGCATTATGTTGGCATGTAGTTTCATCGCTTTCATACAGACACTGGCACCAAATTCATCCTATGAGGAAACGTGTGTCCAAATAACTAGTGCTTTGCAATCATTCACCATGTGGCTTAATGTTACACTGCAACATCATCACAAATAACCCCATCATTACAGGAGTTTGCACAAATAAAACAGCATGACACACAAATGGCTGAGCTTCTGATTGGCTGAGAGGAATCATTGGCTGATTGGCTGTGGAAAATAACAGAAGCGATTTTACGCTGATCTCTGGCAGCTGATGATCTTCAGTTAGTCAAAAAAGCACTGGCTTACTCGAGTATTACTAAAACTAAACACTTACTCAACTTGTGCGTTTCATTTAGCACTAGAGTAAATGTTAGACAGACGTTCGTATGCTGTGAGGGTCACTCTGACTTCAGGACATATGATATGGATCATCAGACACTGAAGGGTGTTGGTCGGGGTCAGGGGTCAGGGGTCAGAGGTCAGACTCACCCTGGAAGGACTGTCGGGCTCTCTCCACCAGCTCCTCGATGGGGTAACTGGCCAGATCTCCTCTGGCGTGTTTGGTTTTGCAGTATGTGCAAGCGTTCAGACAGCTGTGGGACAGGGAGAGAAAGAGAGGATCATAAACATCAGGAGCGATACATACGCACTGATAAGTGTGACAGATATCAACATGTCTGAACACTGAGAGGATTGGCGGTCCAGATGAACCTCCTGTGCAGGTCATATTTAACTAACAAAACCAACAGAAGCTTTGCTTTGCATAAAGACAATGAACTTACTTTAAGGAACATTAAAGGGGTCATATGATGTTGCTAAAAATAACATTATGTTGTGTATTTGGTGTAATGAAATGTGTTTATGCGGTTTAAGGTTAAAAAAACACATTATTTTCCACATACTATACATTATTGTTTCTCCTCTATGCCCCGCCTTTCTGAAACGCGTCGATTTTTACAAAGCTCATCGGTCTGAAAAGTGAGGTGTGCTCTGATTGGCCAGCTATCCAGTGCGTTGTGATTGGCTGAATACCTCAAGTGTGTGACGGAAATGTTACGCCCCTCACCATACTGTTATGTAGTGTCCCGGCACGATGAGACAACGCCAATAAAACCCATTACAAACGAGGCATTTGTTGCATCCAGTGGGCACATAATTACTGATGAAAGTGTCATACAGGCAGTGTGTGTTCATTCACATGGCTTTTTGCGCTGTTTGCTGCGACTAAATCTTCCATCAGACCTTCTCACTGATGAACTGTAATGAATCCAAACATGATCTCAATTGTACTAGACTAAAATCCTCAGACTTTCACTCAACTAAAACTTGACTAAAAGAACAGGATAGGCTGACTAAAAAGAACATTTGATACAGGACTGAAACTAAGACTGAGACTGCTCTCATTAGAGTTACAAATGACCTGCTCTTATCATCTGATCGTGGTTGTATCTCTCTATTAGTGCTACTGGATCTTAGCACTGCGTTTGACATTATCGACCACAACATTCTTTTGAATAGACTAGAAAATTATGATGGCATTAGAGGAAGTGCATTAGCATGGTTCAAATTGTACTTATATGACCGCCATCAATTCGTAGCAGTGAATGAAGAGGTATCATATAGAGTATGGAGTGCAGTATGGAGTACCTCAAGGCTCAGTACTAGGGCCATTACTTTTCACACTTTACATGTTACCCTTGGGAGATATCATCAGGAAACACGGTGTTAGCTTTCACGGTTATGCTGAAGATACTCGGCTTTATATTTCTTCGCAGCCCGGCGAAACATACCAATTTGAAAAACTAACGGAATGAACAGTCGAAATAAACTGGATTACTCAATTTCCTACTGCTAAATTAAAAACAAAAACAAAAACAGAGGTTTTATTTAATTAGAAGAATGGCATCTACGCTAATATTAGTCTGATTCTCTTTTATTCCGAGGTCACCGCAGCCACCAGATCCAGTTCGTATCCAGCCCAGATGGTGGATCAGCACCTAGAGAGGACCCCTACAGCCCTGAATATCAGCGGAGACCAGGACAACTTGACGAGCCCCAGATACAGATCCCCTGTAAAGACCTGGTCTCAGACGACCACCGGGACAAGACCACAGGAACCAGATGAGTCCTCTGCACAATGTGACTTTGCTGCAGCCTTGACCGCCATCAATTCGTAGCAGTGAATGAAGAGGTATCATATAGAGTATGGAGTGCAGTATGGAGTACCTCAAGGCTCAGTACTAGGGCCATTACTTTTCACACTTTACATGTTACCCTTGGGAGATATCATCAGGAAACACGGTGTTAGCTTTCACGGTTATGCTGAAGATACTCGGCTTTATATTTCTTCGCAGCCCGGCGAAACATACCAATTTGAAAAACTAACGGAATGAACAGTCGAAATAAACTGGATTACTCAATTTCCTACTGCTAAATTAAAAACAAAAACAAAAACAGAGGTTTTATTTAATGGACCAAAATCCTCTGCATGTAACAACCTAAAACGCTGTCTAACACTTGTTGGCTGCTCTGTAAATTCTTCGTCATCAGTTAGGAACCTATGTGTGCTATTTGATAGCAATCCTTCCCTACAGCCCTGAATATCAGCGGAGACCAGGACAACTTGACGAGCCCCAGATACAGATCCCCTGTAAAGACCTGGTCTCAGACGACCACCGGGACAAGACCACAGGAACCAGATGAGTCCTCTGCACAATCTGACTTTGCTGCAGCCTGGAATTGAACTGCTGGTTTCGTCTGGCCAGAGGAGAACTGGCCCCCCGACTGAGCCTGGTTTCTCCAAAGGTTTTTTCTCCATTCTGTCACCGATGGAGTTTTGGTTCCTTGCCGCTGTCGCCTCTGGCTTCCTTAATTGGGGACACTTGACTGATTGCACAGACACTATTGGAGCTGAACTGGATGATGACATCACTGAATCATCAATGAACTGACTTTATCTGGAAAATGACTGTTATTGTCCTCTTGCATTATTGACAAACTATTTTCCTGTTGACACTAAAGCTGCTTTAACACAATTAACTAACATAATCAGTATTGTATAAAGCGCTACATAAATAAAGGTGACTTGACTGAATTAAAAGCATCACACTCACAGACAGACTCCAGCAGAATGAACGGGGTCCACCGCTTTACTCCTCACTGGGCCAGACAACAGCAAAACGCAGAAAACAGCACCAATTAAAGTCAAAGCCTCACTTTAGCTTAAGTTTGTTGTTTTCTTGCACACGTTTGGCTGAGAGGTAAAGAGTCTGTTGTCTATGCGTTTCAGAACGCCGATCAATAAGTGTCTGGCAGGACTTTTTGCTGTTTGTTTGCTGAATGAGCTCCACCGAGAGCCGACTGGACGGGAGCTCTGAGCCTCGAGCGCGTCTCGCCTTTCATCAGCGCTGTTGATGAAGCCCCTTCCGGACCAGATCTCTGCCGGGGAGTCAGGACCGTCCAGGAGCTCAGAGGAGAGAGTTCAAAACGCTGGACTGCCGCAAGGAGCATCATTAGAGAACAGCAGCCAGCATCGCCTCCCCTCCAGCAACTCCGCGAAAGTGCTGAGCTAGAGACGCGTCTGTGGAGCCTCATTACCGCTCCTAAAGCTGGAGATGTTTCGCTGAAACACAGGTTTAACAAACACACAACTGCATGTGTAAACACTACTGAACATGGTGATATTTGCTCCAATCTACCGCCTTCATTAGTGTTAATTTTGTCAGCTGTTTTTTTTTAGTCTTCATCTTAGTCCTGTGTCAAATGTCATTTTTAGTTTTGACCATATCAAATTTTATTTTATCATAGTTGTTTTGTTTTTGTTTTTTTAGCCAAGTTTTTTCAAAGTCTGGGAATTTTAGTCTAGTTTCAGCAAGTGCACACTTAGTCATATTTTAGTCATTCTGCATTCTGATAATCACAATTATTATTCTCAAAATAATAATAGCGATTACTGATCATGATTGTTGTCATTTGAGAATCAGAATTCTTGCACTTTCACCTATAAGCACAAATCAAAAGAATGTAGACTCAAACACATGCTTTATTGATCTCATCGTTTCCTGATTGATTATATTATCCGAAATATAAACACACTATCTACATTAGAAAAACTGGTAAAAAGCAAAAGCAGTGACATTCCTGATATTAATTTCAATAATTACAAATTATATCCATGTATTTCTATTAAAACAACAACAAAAAGCCTTTGTATTGTGGCACAGAGGTGCATAAGCACATTTATTCAGCATCAGTCACAAATAATTCAGTAGAGATCATGTCTGTATCATTAATTAATCACTGAGGAGATCTGATGGCAGATTTAGTCGCAGCAAACAGCGCAAACGCATGGATATAGCGTATTTATTTTTTAAACTATACCTCAGTCTAATTTTTCATCAACAATATTACATGTTGATACAGTCACAGTTAGCCGTCTTAGTCATGGAGGAAAAAGAGCTTCTGGTTGTATGAACAATTGAAACTCACAGTGAGACATATTCCTCTAACTTCACAAGCCCAACAGCTAAACGCTGATCCTCCATGGATTGCATGTGACTATGGGAAGGCTTTATTATTTCAAAGGGAACTAGAAGATTAAATATCAAGACCAGATGACCAGAGACAACATTACTACAATACATCATGTGTCATTCACCGGTGAGAAAACTTTATAGTACAGTTAGTAGAAGTACTACAATACCAGGAAGGAAGATCAGGTTTTTGATGTTTGCCTGCCATTCTCTCTCTGTCTGCACAGCATACGTGAACAAACAGGGTGTGCAGAGGTATGCAAATACATATCTGAGGCAGATAGGAAAGTCAATCAAAATGCTCGGAACGAGTGTTTTGATTGGACGAATATTTCTTGGTCCTACGCCTTCCACAGAATATATAAATACATATAAATACATTTAGACCACTTAACTTAAAGGGATTGGCACTCCTAATTGAGATTGTAGATAGAGTGTCAATGGTCCATTTGAGAGATAGGTGGCGGTAATGCACTTATAAGTCTGCGATCCGCTGTAAAGCAAGAAGACGCGTCAAGCGCCGGCTGTTGAGGACGCGCTCAGGACAGATCAGACATTGCAGTGCATCAGAGGTAAAAAACGATATAAATACTGTTCAGTTTCTTGCACAGACCAATCGTTTTGTGTCTTTACACATCAGTGTATTGTCTCGAGCCGCAGGGTTTAATTTGGTTTTGTTTGTGTATGTTTTTCTTTTACTCTCAAAGCCGTGACTCTCATTCACTTCCATTATAAGACTGACAGACTGCAACGGTTTGAGTTAAAAATCTCAGTTTGTGTTCTACTGAAGAAACAAAGTCACCTACATCTTGGATGCCCTGGGGGTAAGCAGATAAACATCACATTTTCATTTTTGGGTGAACTATACCTTTAAAGATTGCTATAGGGATGTGAAGAGACTTTCAACCAGCATAACAAAAAATGTTTCTGAAGACAATCACCTATTGCATTTTTAATGTGAAACGAGCCCAGTAACATGGATCAAACTCACCGTACCCCAGTGGGCTCGCCGTCCTACACAGAGCTTTCACATTAAACCAACCCACGTCTACCTCCGAACACCCCTGACCTATCACAGAGGCACAGGCAGCATTCTGGGTAATCTATTTACTTGAAGTCCTGCCTTACACAATTCCAGGAGAATGTTGCCTCAGTAGTAATAGAGCGAGAGATAATGAACAGAGATGGCTGACGCAGTAAGTGCAGCGCTTGAAGGGTTTGAAGTGTATTTCAGTCATGTTACAGAATCCGAGGGCCGTTCTTTCTCTGCGTTCATCATGCTAGCACCAGATGCTTTCATCCACACGTCCCGTCTGAGCTGAGATTCATGCACATTTGAGCAGATCTACAGCATTCGGTGCATCACTGGTTATTAATGCAGGTGCTGCATGATTTCAATATCGATAGATCAACAAGCGCAGGAACAACCGCAGCATCTTAAGACGCTTGCCATCACCAGGAGCTCTGGGTTTCTGCAGGTCTGATGAAAGTAAATTTAAACCCTTTTTAAGACCAAGTAAAGAAAATCTAAGGAATAATTCAAATGGAACAAAATACATCAATATGATCTCTACATGTAAATGTCTTGTATTATCAACACTTCACAGTTTGAAAATACAACTTTGGCAGCTCTCTATTACTTTTAAATCCATTTTACAAACAAACAAACAAACAAATAAATAAGCAAGCTTAAGGCTTGAATATCTCTTTTCCCAAACACTAGAGTATGGAAATAACTTTTACTGTACCTTCTGATCACATTGCAAAAAGTGATGCTCTTCTTAGTATTTCTGTCTCGTCTAAAGACTAAAAGTTGTCTGGTTTTATGAGAAATTTATCAAAATTAAGTGAGTTTATGATTAAATCAAGAACAAATATGTCAACGGGCTAAGAAAAATCAACTTAATTCAAAGGGAAACATCATGTTCATTTTGCATCTCAAGTACATATTTGCATTGAAACATTTTAATTTTTTCCTCAGCTCATGCAACATTTAATGCCATGACTTCATGAATTGACGACTTTCTGCTCTGATTTAAGACCTTTTTAGGCCTTCCTTAATCTGAAGAAGGGCAAATCAAGACTTTTTAGGACCCTCAGAAACCCTCTCTCATGACACACCACAAGATCTGTCAATACCAGCTAGTGCAAGTGCAGGTGAACATGCAAAGCTTGTAGAGCTCCTCAATTGGTTTGACTACAGGACATCTATTAAATACAGGACATCGAGGGAGCTAACACAGTACTACAACCGTTTAGTGCACAAAAGTAAAACAAAAACTATCCATAACATCCACTGTTACGATGTATTATTTATTACAACTATGAACTGCAAAATGATTGTACCACAGCATGGAGTTTAATTCACTCAAGCTCTGACATTAACAACAGAAGATACGGGAAGAGTTTTCTCCTCCTTGTTGAATTCTGTTTATTCTGCTATCGTAACTATACACAGTTTCAGCATTAGCATTCATCATTGTTCTCCGCTCCTGCGACCCGTCAGAACAGAGCCGAGACCCGGTTGTGGACGTTCTGCTCCATTCACACTGATAAACAGGCTCATTTATGAAGCTCCACAGGTTCTGTTCTCTCCACGCGGACAGCACAAAATATCAGGGCCTGATTAGACACCTGCAGTAAATAATTTCTTAATTACTTCTGCTGAAAGCCGCTCGCCGCGGCTGCATCCGCCTGTCATTAATTACGCCAGCGATACATGCGGACAATATACTTCATCACAGCGCCGGGACTAACGGGCCCCTGGTGAGACTAACCCGCTTTACTCTTTGTTACCTATTCAACAGTCCTGTGACAGTAAGACAATGCTGAGAGCTCCCCAGATGCTCCCCGCTCCCTCAATTTATTAATTTGAGCCCCAGCGAGTGAGACGCAGCTAAATTACGCTGACCCCCGCCAGCAGAGCAGACACCCATGAGACACGTGATAACAGCTCGCAGGAGCGCGGTGAGACGGTGGCTTGTTTGGGGTTTACTTAAGAACGTAATTAAAGAAGTTTGAACTGCGAGGTTCACAGCCCTGCCAGCAGTTCATCATTGTGTTTGAAGGACGGAGGAAAGTCAACTGGGCTGAGAGAAAAAGCTTCAGAATGAGACAAAAACTGATCCACACTGCAGTGCTACGACACTCAGAACCTCTGCAGAACATCACTGAAGAATCAAACAGCTACAGGATTCGGTTTTCATAATCTGATGACAAGAAAATTAACAACCTCAACCAACTGCATAAACACAGGAAAAACCTCGGGCAGGATTCACCGAGAGCCGTCTGAAAGACTGAAAGACGAATGAACGAAGAGCTGGGTTTGTCTTCCATGTCTGGAGGGAATCTGAGAGATGGATTATGTTCTTCTCCATTAATTGGACCCAGTTTAAAAGAGTAACTTTTATCCAGAGCAGAGCAGGCTGAGCAGAAACAGCATGTGACTGTTTCCAGCTGAGTTGGGAACCAATGACTAAAAGACAAAGCCGTATAAATGGACCGTCAACATCCATGTCCAAGTGATCAAGCAGATCACATGGGCCGAGAAGGGACTCAGATTGTAAACAATCCATTCCATTTTCTCCCATCAGACACCTGGAGCATGGCCCAAAGTAAAACATGAGGTAAAACGGGACACCTCTTCTGGTTGCTGCTCTCCGATCTGAGACCTGCCATCCAGCAAACATCACACTGAAGCAGAAAGAGCTCTTGAATGATGTTTGGCTCAGTTCTATATGCTCTCAGTGCAGGGTTGTGTTTTCCTCTCTTACTCCCAAACAGCACGGTCAAACCCTAACGGAGGACATTCAAGCGTCTCTGTGAGGCTTCATTTGCTGACAGCTTTGTCTTCACTGTATTCTTCGTGTTTGTGCCACTGAAGTAATCTCAGGTTTTCCATAACGGCATGTTTACCGTCGCCTCGCATCTCCCAGCAGTTTTCCCGCAGTAATCTCATAATTGAAGAGTAATCTGCTGGTGATCAGTGTTGATGCAGCGTTTGTTCGCTGAGAGGAAAACAGAAAGTTGGCTGTTAATTAAAGTGGATGTGGAGGCTGTAATCCGCAAGCGTCCGAGATCTGATCCTGGAAACGTGCTGAGAGCACACGCCAACACATCATACTTGTTCAGGTTTAGCTCTTACTACTTTTCTGCCGGTGCCAAAGCTCTCGAATGCTCTTATAATAACCCTGAAATAATATCTGATATCTGGAGTCAGTGTTGGCCTGACAAACAGCCGCATGTTCCAGTGAAATACACTTTACTGTACATCCATACACATTAATGAAACACTCACAGATCAGGTGACCTGAAGGGACGACGGCAGAACAAACTCATTGGTGTGTTATATGTGTGACTTTCAGAGCGGTTTAAAGTTAGTTTCGTCAGGCAGTGTATTAGCAAACACTCACACTCCTCTTGTTTTGAAGAAAACTCTTGAAGATGAGGCCCAAAATGTTCTTTAATCAATCCATGATGTAGTTTTTGTTTTGTGTGGACTATATTAGTTAGGTTGGTTTTTGCTATTGTATCTAAATTGAAATCAAGAATTGTAAAATTGCACTGGTGTCTAAAATGTTGGAGTCACAAGCTTATTTATTAGAATACAAGGTTATATGGGTCCAAAAAAAGCATGTATGTGTGTATCCAGGCCAATAGAAAAAATCCTCAATGTTGAGCCTTGCAATCACGTGTGAAACACTCAAATTCCTCTGAGCACCGAATCAGTGTTTGCAGCAGTGCTTACAGGGTGATATGTCCAGCAGCCCAAGACTGGTGGCCCACTGAAACTAAGCAGGGTTGAGCTGGTCAGTACGTGGATGGGAGACTCCTGGGAAAACTAGGTGCTGCTGGAAGAGGTGTTAGTGAGGCCAGCAGGGGGTGCTCACCCTGTGGTCTGTGTGGGTCCTAACGCCCCAGTGTAGTGACGGGGACACTATGCTGTCAACAAGCACCGTCCTTCGGATGAGACATTAAACCGAGGTCCTGACTCTCTGTGGTCATTAAAAATCCCAGGATGTCTTTCGAAAAGAGTAGAGGTGTGACCTCGGCATCC